GGGAAACAGGACTATGTAGCCAGACTCACACTGTGCATGTCCCGAGGGGAACAGCACAAGTCCAGGGGGTCTCCCCCCGGTCCCTGGGCTCAAAGCTTACATCGGGGAGGGAAGTGAATGCAGGTTATGACTTCGATTGTTAATATTATCTTGAACACACACAAAAGTCAGAGAACAACTGTTTCACATTCCCAAGAGAGGTTTGCAGGTCAAGTACGGTGCCCTGACATTGGCGGACAGATGAAATCAATAAACTTACCCTACAGAGTACCAAAAAATGACAGAAATGGATTCATTATACATTATTTCTACTTCGAATAATTGAATAATTTATTACCATTATGTTATAAAATTATCATAATAAAATGTCCTTTGAGACATCCATAAAAATTGGAATGATACAGAGAGGATTAGGATGGCCCTTACACAAGGATGACACACATAAATTGAGAAATGGTCCAAATTAACAAAAAAAAGTTATAATAATAAAATAGAGTTCAGTCTGCTGTGTTCAAGGTTGGCGAAAAGCGTATGCGGCGTACTATGCGCCGTATTAAAATTTGAACTTTTTTCTTTTGAAATTTGAATTTTGGTGGAAGCTTCAGCTCTGAATGATGAAGACAGAAAATGAATCTCTTCCAGATTTTCACCTCTTGCCTAATTCGCTTTAGTATGTTCTTACTCTACCTTTTCTGCCTCACTTTTTTTTTCAATGCGCTTTGCTTCAGCTTGTTGACTACCGCGTTCGTTCTGGTTGCAGGGACATCAGATACTCAATGGTAGTGCTATTGAAGATTCTTCCCGAGTTTCTAAATATGGGGGTAAGCGCTTGCCTTTCTACTGAGACATGACGGAGAGATCAGAGAAGAAGCTTTTTAATCGGCCAAGCAAATCCGAACCTGAGCCAAAAAAAGTAATTCCTCAGATAGGAAAATCAGAAAATGTTAGGAATATCCACAAACAAGGCTGTTGCTACTTAGGATAATTGATTCTATAGCTCGGGTCAATCAGGTAGTCAACAACTAATCGACCTCTCTATTAGGAACCTGAGCCTGACATGCCGAACTTGTGTGGGGTTGGGACTGTCAGGGAGCTGTGGCAGCGGGCTTGGGAAGCTGGGAGGGATGGTGGGCAGAACCTCTCTCCGTAGCCGCATTGGACATCGGCGCAGCGGTCTGGATTCAGGAAAAGACTGCTGTTTTAACGACTGGCATAATAGAACAAAATTCCTGATAATTATTGGGAAAAAGTTGTGTGTTGTATAGTCAGGGAATAATGAAGAAGGAGAAAACCTCCATTTCCCACCAAGGAAGTATTTTTTTGAGGAATGAGAGCCTTGATTCTCAAAATGTGAACATTGAGGAAAAAATCATACAATGCAAGACTGGATGTGTGTCTGTGTGTATGGAGAGAGAGAGAGAGAGAGAGAGAGAGAGAGAGAGAGAGAGAGAGAGAGAGAGAGAGAGAGAGAGAGAGAGAGAGAGAGAGAGAGTTGTGTTTGCTCCCAATGCGGGTTCTGTTTGCTTTTCCATCTAAAGTGTATTGAGTCTTACTCTTGTGATCTGTCTTCTTTTCTGCACTTCCCTTTCTCCTTCGTCCGGGTGTCTCTTCCCGTCCCTCAATCCCCTATAGCCACTCTGCGCCCCATTATGTACTTCTTTTCATCTAGTTCGCCCCCTGCTTGGGGGTACTTTCCAATTGACTTGGAAAAATTGCAGTGAGCGGTGAAGGCTTCAATTTGTCTCTACCTCTTAACCGTTGAGTTTTATAAATGGCGCTGATGATGTCGGTCGTGACCTGATTTCTCCCTCTGTTTTCTGCACGTGGCCTGCTTTGTTGATATCTTTGAGGGCATGGTCGGCATGGGTATGGTGTGAATCCTTTTCTGCCCGCCGATGTGTTTGGTAATTCTTGATTGTGTGCCGTGAAAGGGATGCTTTTTCTCTGAATCACTTGGATTTTTGCATCAGATGTCGTTTAGAGTTCTCTGTCCAAATCCCCTGAGGTCTGTCTCCTGTTTCCACCTTTCAGAGAGCACGCATTGAATCTGCTGGATGCATATGGTGCATCTGCGTGCTTCTTGTCTAGGTTGCTCTTCTTGCCCAATGAATGAAACTGATTCAACTTTGTACTTTCCTCTGTGTGTGTGTGTGTGTGTGTGCTCTCGTGCGCATGCGCTTGTGTGCGTGTGTGCGTGGATGCGCATGCGCTTGTGCTCTCGTGCACATGTGCATGCACTTGTGTGTGTGTGAGTTTGTGTGGATGTGTGAATGTGCATGTGTGTGTTTGTGTGTGTGTGCCTGGAGGGGGCGGGGGGGGGGGGGGGGGGGGGGGGGGGGGRGRGGTTGCGTATTGTGGGTGTGTCTGCTCTTTGGTGCTGCACCACTGGGGCTTGTTGGACATCAAACATTTGACAAATGTGTTGGAATCTCTGCAATGTTGTTGATATGGGAATGGAACTGGGAGTGAAACTGAGCTGCATTTTTTTCTGAGTGAAGGCCTTGGTGGCAATCTATATAGTGTTTTTCGCATGGATGGGAAGATTTATTTTCCACGACTCAGTCGAAGGGCCTCATGCCTTTTCGGATATTGGAAATTCTTTGGCCAGTATGTTCACCCTCATTCTTGCTATCAACAATCCTGTCGTTTGGACTCCTGCTTACAAGTATGTAAAAACTTCCATACCTCCCAACCTCTTTCTTCTTTTTTTTGTCCCCCAATAATGCAAGTCCCAACCTTTTGGCCGTTTTTTTTTCCTTTTTTCCTGCGTCATTATTACACTTTTTTTGCCCTAATATAACATAGACCAGTGATCCCAACATTCACTGTTGTTGTTGCCTTTGACCCGACTCCAGTACAACTTTTCTCTTGGCTCTGCTGATCACCCAAATTTTCTACATTTTTTTAATCCACCTTTTCTCCTTCCTTCCAGGGTTTCCCCTTTTTCCGTTTTTCAACTTTTTCTTATTGTCGTTTTCTAACACTGCAGGCTACAGTCAGAACCATGGTTAGTCTGGAATCCTTTCCCCCCCTTCAGCATTGTTGTATCTGGCAGTCTTTGAATCCACTCATCTGGGTGGAGGAGGGCACGTGAAGCAGTCTGTGGGTCTGAGAGGTGGATGCCCTTGTGTAGTTCCCACACTTTTTGCTAATAATGGAATGCAATCATTATCGACAACTTTCCAGCAAAAGATAAATCCGCTAATACCACCTACTGAAACGGTTTCACCCATTTGACCCGACATTGCAGACACAGTGATTCGATCCCCAGACCTTTGCCCTAACCCTGTACATTGAACCTGTGTGCTGAGTAGGATTCGATCCCTAGACCTGCTCTACGTCCTAGGCTAGTCTGTAGGTCGGACAGCAGGACTTGATCCCTAGGTCTGTAGTTTAGAAGTTGTCTGTTACCGGTAGGCTTAGTAAAGTCTGTTTTAGAAGTCTCTAACTGAGTCTGTCGTAGGTCTGGTAGCTGTCTGTAGGTCCGTAGGGTCTAGAAGGTCGTAGACCCCTATAGGACAGTCCAGCCAGCAAGTACCTGGGAAAGGGGCTGCACATGGGGAAAAGGGAAGGCCCACACGTTCTGGAGAAGTCTCCAGAATACGCGTTTTGGGGCCTGCACACACGGGTTGAGTGCCAGAGTCCCACACATTTTGGCCAGAGGCCCACACGCTTTGGGAAGTTTCCCGACCCGGGCCTCACGTGGTTTGGCCCAGGTCACACGGTTTGGAAACTTCCAGACCTGAGGTTTCCCGCATTTTGGCCCAGGCCCACAGGTCTGGAGGCAGGGTCCGGTTACCTCCGAAGAAGTATAAATAAAGAGGCAGCGTCCAGCCATTCATTCATTCACCTGTGAGCCATGCGGAAGTGCTGCCTTGGTATCTTGTGCGTGGAGGTCTGCAGGTGCCCGGAGAAGAAGTGGGCTGTGAAGAAGACAGCGGCCATAGCGAGACAGCGAGAGAGACACCGGCGGCCATAGCTAGGAGGAGGAAGACGACGGAAGCCATATCCGCCCAGCTGTTGGTGTAGACAGGGTGTACAGAGTGTGTGTGTCTGTGCAGCGTGGACATTCAGGGTGATCCTCGTACGTGTGTGCATGCGAGAGTGAGGGAGAGTGAGGCTGGTGGTAGAGACAGTGTTCGGCGGCCATAGCCGCAAGTTGTACAGTTGTTCTGAACAGAGTTTAAGAGCAAGTTCGTTGTTGATTCTGAGTTGACGAGTTTGGTTTGCTATCGGTTCTCATGTATGCATGTTGTGAGCAAATCCAGAGTCGAGTCTGATTGCACTACAGGCAAATAAGTTGAAATAACATAATACGTTTTTATGAATTTCAGATTTCTGCTATCGTTATGTTTAGCATCATAACCACAAATGAAAATAGAACAGCAATAGGGCCAGCAGCCGAGCTCAGTTGGTGGAGCGTGAAAGCTGCATTCAGGAGGCCGTGGGTTGGATTCCTCACGCCTTCCATTTTGGCCGGGGAATTCCCACGGCCCCCTGAGGTGCGCTGCACGTTCTCTGGCTGAGATAGTCAGCTTGCCCTCCTAGTTGGTTGACGGGAGTGCCAATATTCCTTCCACCCGTAGCTGGGAGTCAGGCTCAATCCTGAGGGAATAGGCTTAGTGTAGCTGGCTTGTGGTCCATACATAAAAGAGTGTAGCGTTCCAGGCTAGGTAGGTAGGTAGTGGGAGGCATATTGAGAGAAGAATATAGATTAGTTTTATAAAGCAAAAAAATAAAATAGAACAGCATTAGCTCCTACACAATCGCTATTGGAATTCAGAACCCGTGTGAGAATGCAGTATGGCTGGCTGTTTCCTTTTGCTCTTACCTGAGTCGCTCTTTTTTTTTTCTGGATTTCCATGAATGGACATGTGTGGCTCACCTTTGATACATGTATTTTACTATTTTGTTTTTCTGCCCATCAATCCGTCTTTATCCTGGGAGAATTGGTGAATTTGGGAAGTATGGGTTTGAACTTTGACCTCGGAACCAAGCAAGATAGACGTACAAGATGTATCGATGATCCGTCTGTTGATCCAGGTACCGGCCTGAAAAGATCGCAGGGGGGAGCGCGGGTGGGAACCGCCAAGAAAGTCAATAGTCCCAACCAGTTCTCACGACTCATATATGGCACAGAAGATGCGTAATGCTAACATTCCCCCTGGAACCCTACCCAGCCTTATCATGAATGCACTCTGCTGCAAAGATAGCTTGTATACATTCATGATCAGTAACCAGTTCTTATATGGCATGTAAGACTCATAGTGCTAGCGTTCCCCATCGAAGACTACGCAGACTTATTCATGACTGCACTGGACTGGAAAGATAGCTTGTAGAAATTCATGATCAGTGCTCATTGGGAGGGATATATTTATGCACCATCATTTGTCTATACCGTGCATCCAATCCGATTGTAGGAATGGGGAAGGAACAGAGTGAATGGGCCCTGTCTTTTGAGTTTTGACTCTTTTGAGTCTTTTGGGACGAAAGAATGTGTGTCCTGTTTATCATTTTTCTTGCAACTTTTTTAATCTTCTGGATAAGAATCCAATCCAATCAAGTATAGTGAAAATAAGGGCGAAGCTTCTGACCGTAAATTACGAAGATCAAGATCAATGATCAGGAATGGAGGAACTGTGAGAGCTGGACACCCCCCCAGGATGTTACATAAGTGGGTGATGGATGTGCTTTGATGACGGCAGACGTCAGCGACAGGGAGATCTTCTGGAATCGGTATTAAACCACCAGCACTCCCGAGCCTCGTTTTCCCCGAGGGCGATTTCTGGTGTGTGCATAGTTTTGTCGAAACAGCGCGGGCACGTCGAATCTTTTGGCTGGCACTGCTAGCCTTCTCATTTTGGTAGGCTGAGCCCTGAACAACCTGGCATGTTAATGCCCGCAGCAAAAGAAAATAGCTGGGAAAGGTACTGGTGGTGTAAGTTACTACTAACTTACCTCTATTCACCTTTTTATTATTTACCACAGTGATTGTGTTGGTTGAAACTTGAATTGCAAAGGTCATGATTTGAGAAGCACACAGACAGTTGCAAATTGTGTTGACGAGTGTTGACTGCACACTTGTGGCAATCACCTGGGGTAAGATCACACTTGTAGAGATTCTTTGTTCTGGACGTTCGATTGCATGGATCAGCGGCCAGAAGCACAAGATCCAGGATAGTGGGACCTTGCCCCTGTTGATACCAACACCTATCATCCACCTTGCCACTTGCAGAGATGTTTAATTTTCTCTTCGTGGTTGTTGCTCTTGTTGTGTTTCAGGGAGAACCCCATATCCTGTCTGTTCTTCATTACATTTTTGGTGATCGGAGTTTACTTGATGATGAGTCTACTTTTCAGTGTTGTGTTCCGGGGGTATCGGCAACGGGTGAGTAAAATTTGGCTTCATTTCTGATATCTATCCTTTTTTTTCTTTTTTTTTTTTTCTTTTTTTAACAACTTCAGGTTCCGTCCTCTTTGGCTCCTGATTCCCGATCCCTTTCATTCCCTCTGCACAACCCTCATGCTGGGTTCTTCAACCGACCAACAGCTTCGGCCGAATCCATTATCCAATCCCATCCTAACACTTCGTGAGCTGTTTAGCTTGCCATTACCCCTCATAATGTGTGCGAGCTGCAGAGATCATACTGTGGAATGTCCACAGAAACGATGAACCTGTCACACACAACCACCAGCGAGAAGCGGAGAAGGTGACACCGCATGGCTACGTGACACCCGTGGCCGCGGCCAGGAGGTCCAGTTCGTGGCCCGTTTTTTTGGATATTTCTTTTGGGGTCAAATAATACGTGAAAAAAAAAAACAAAAATATGGGGTTATAGGGTTTGCAAAACCTTACAATCCCATAACTGTTTTTTTTAATTTGACTTCATTTACGAATTTAAAAAAAATGAAAAACGAAAATCGGTTAAAAAAAACAAAAATAAAAATAAATAAAAGAAAAGCAGGAATTTGAAGAATTTCGTTTTTTCATTTTTTTCATAACTGATATGGAGAGTCCTAAAAATTTTGCACAGGTAATTTGTTTTTTCTTCTTCTTCTTCTTCTTCTTCTTCTTCTTCTTCTTTTTCAAAAAAACAGAACCTCATGGTTCTGGCTCCTTCTATTCTGGGGAGCAACAGTCCGGTTCCTTTTCCCCTGCAAGTCAATAGGAAATACATAAGAGACACAAGTACGGTCCTCCCCATTATGGCTGAGAGGCCCGAGTGGATGGCATTGATTACTTCCTTGAGGAAGGATGTACCACCCCTCACCCCTGCCTAATTTAGCCTGTACTATCTCAGTTTGCCAAACCCTCTGATCCCAGTTCTGCTCCTCTCAGTTTTGAAACTGTCGGATAGGTGTGTTTTATCGGAGTGTTCTGGGACGCGTATGAATCCTTTAAAAGGATTTCCATTTTAACTCCTATTAGTCTAGGTTTTGTATAAGTCCTAAGCTCTACTCCCTTGGTTATAATGATTCTTTAGTTTACCAATTCCTGGTCCAGGAGATAATACCTGTGCTATTCCACAACCCTAAACCCTGTAATTTTCTTCCTCTCTATCCACTCTCTTAAGCCCTAAACGCTACTGTCGTCCTTCTGTAAATCCATTAAGCTGAATTTATGTCTGGTGAAGTGTTTTGTGATTGTGTCGTTTCTAACGAGACGAAGTCAGTGGATCTGTCACTCCCCTGCTGTTCCTCCCTCCTTTTCCATATCAAACGCGGGGGATCACCCTGAATTGTGCCGAGTTTACCCATTCCAAGCCTGTCTTTGATGAATTTGTCGATGATTATTTGCTTTTTTGTGGGATCATCCTTGATAATTTTGTTCGCTCGGCGCCAATCTGCCTGATATTCCGTGTGTAGAAGCTGAAGAAAAAACTCCCAGGCCTCCCGGGTCGATGTTTTTTGGTGTGATATCGTTTGTTTGCATTGAGTCTTCCATATGATCCACAGTGTAAAAGGACGAAGTCTTCTGAAGAGGGCTGAATGCCAGACTTCTCTGAAACTTGGTTGTGCCACACCCATCAATTCTTTGTGTGTTAGAACAGTTTATCAGACAGTGTAGCATATCCTCAAGGGATCCATCCTTGCAGACTGCACAGCTGTCATCGAAGTCTCTTCTACCAGCTCCGGACCTTCTCCTGCTGAGCCATGTGTTGACCGGCAAGGCCTGGTAGTATATGAGCCATTGCATGCTTCTTATACAAATATTTCTTATGGTGAGTGGGATCTGCCAGTCAAGCTTCTCCGTGTTGCCCAGGCACCCCGGGATATATTTCTCCCAACGCTGAAACAAAATGAGCTCTGTGTTCACCGGGTTACGTCTAAGTTTATAGCTGGAACTAGTTGTGTAGTCTAGGATGTTAGTACGCTTATGCGCCCCCGTTGGCACTGCTCTTGTTTTCCATGCCCACTCAGCCGGGTCAAACTCCAAATCTTGTAAGGCTGTTCCCGGCTGATAAGTTATGTAGTCCTCGTCCTCCACCACTTCGATTTTCCTGAGGAAAGACGATTTGGCCGTGACTCGGGCACGTACTGTTTTAGAGACCCTGCCGATGTTGTTTCCTGGCTGTTCTATGTCGTGGATGGTCCGTAGTCCCCAGTCCCCTGATGGACCTGTCGACTTCACGTATGACAACACCTCCGTGGGATTGTTTTGTGACTTCCACGTAGCCCACTCCCCTGATGTCCAGACGGGGGAAGCTAGTAAGAGTGCCACCCAGTCCTGTGGAACCGATTGTATCATTGTCTGTCGGTTGTGGCATCCTTTGAGCGTTGTTCTAAGCTCCGCTGTTGTCTTCCAACGATTGCAGTGATGATTCCAGATGTGTTGAAGTTGCCAGACGCCCTTTTCTAGCCATGTAATCCATTGGGTATCCTGTGTCATTAGAGTCCACGGCTCATCTGAGGTATCTTTCAACCACTGGTTGCAGAAGAGGGGCTGGTGCAGGACTTCCTCTCTGTTAGCTGGACTTAGAACTTTGGTCGGGAAGATCTCTCACCAGATCCTGACGAGATACATCCAGTATTCCAAGCGGGTCGGGAGCGGTTCCTGTTGTTGCTGGTTCGTCCGGTGGATGTTGGTTCGAGTTGCCCAGGACTTCGACATCACCCAGAAGAGCCCTTGCATGTTGGACGGGGTGGTGGCTTTAGGCAGTTGTCTGACCCTGTTCAAGGTCAACATAGTCCAGGGGAGTCGTTGTTGTAGAAGTAACTTGACAATCCACTTCGTCTGAAGGGCCTTGGTTTGAGTGGCCGGATCAGGGACTGCCAAACCGCCTTTACCCTTGGGTTGTATGATATGCGACCAAGACACCTTCGGTATGAAGCGTTGTGTTACAGGATTCCCGGTCCATAAGTACACAGTCGCTCGGTGTTTGAGGGTTGTGATCATGTTGCCTTCTGGTGTCCAGATGGTAGTTGTGTACCACATCATAGAGAAAATGGAAGCGTCAAGTACCAACGCCCTTTCGAACATTGACGTGTAGATGCTGGACCAGGTGTCCATTTTGCGTAGTATTTTCGACAACAACTTCGGTGTCGAGCGCATTGGCTCCCGCTTTTTTGCAAGGTGCGGGAACCCTCCCGGCCATGTCATGCAGGAGTAAACAAAAACAAAATAAGAGAACTCGAGAACGACAAAGAATAACCCCGCGAACCGCCGAGACAGGCGCGGTCGCATCGTTCCTTCACCGCTCTAGCCGGGTGCGCCAGCTGTACTTCCCGCGGTCCCCTACGACAAGATACGGTTCCGCGGGGAACAACTTACCTTCCCTAAGGGGTTGTCACCACCCTTAGGGGCGTATCCCTACCGAGCGTCTGACCCACATGCGAAAGTTTTTAAATGCAATTGCAGAGGTAGGTCAACCGAGGGTGTTTGCTCATTCGCTGTAGTATAGGTACGCGTGGTTAAACGCCAATTGGACCCGAGCGGTGTCCGTTCCTTAGGGCGTTGATCTCCTAAGTATGAAGCGTACGTCGGTCGACTAGGACAATCTCAACCAAGCGTGAAACCACAATTCATCCTAGTCCCTTAGACATACAGTCAAGCGAAAGTTATAATAACCAGAAATAATTACATCAAAAGGAATCGACCGTAGTCGATAGGTAGGTATATCCGAGAATATATATTGGAAGAATTTGGATCATCATACGATACATCCAATAATATAAGATCAAAATAAAGTCCGACCACCCCCGGTTGAACTTGATAAAAAAACTATACTGAATAGCCAACAGAAAGTTGGGTTCGGCAATATCCTCAACGCAGCCGACAAGGTAGTCGAACTGCCGCGCCGCCAAAGTCATTCATTCTACCCTACCGCTGACTTAAAATTAGGCACGCACACACCCGTCTCCATACATTTGCAATCTTTTTGGATGACAGGCTACTTTGCGAATGATTCTTGATCAGGTGCATTGCTTGAAGTGTTGCATGCCTCTCCTTCTAGGAAGTGGTCTGGGGCACTCCTCGCCCGAACACGGAGCTCGAATCTCAGAAGTTGGGTCGTCTCCACCGAATCAGTAGAGTACCGCGCCATAGAACGGTCCACTCTGGGTCGATAACAAGGTCGACTCCTAAAGCAATAAACCCCCGCCCCAGATGCTTCCTAAAGAAAGAGAATGTCCACTGGGAGTAACTTTCAATTATTCCCATTTCTCCTAAGTTCAGGGTAACTTGGACGAAAAAAAAACAGAAGGAGATAGAGAGGGAGAATCATTTGGACAGGTATAGGTAGATAAGGTCATTCAGGATAGAACGGGTATACACCTCAGTAAAAGACTAAGTCCTTTTTAATATTGTCTTATTTATTTAAATCTATTTTTTTTTCGACACACTTTGGATTGACCACTTTCAAAACACATGCCCTTTTGACAACCAGGTGAATGGTAAGTTATTTTTCGCTTTTCTCAAATAGGCTTAACCAATCTCCTTTGCAAACATTCTTTTACCTACCTGCACAACACGTAAAGACAACAAGTTCAAAAGAAAACCAGTACAATTTCATACTCAAGTCAGACCTTTCCATTCACATGCATGACTTGCACAACTTTCCTCTACCCTTTCTTTCGAACATTCAAAATGATCAGGGTCAAGCAAAGTGTGGGTTCACACAGGTGTGAAGGGAAACCTAAGTCAGTCAACTGACCTTGAGTAAAGTTTGAAGCGGCTCACTCAAGAAAGTCGAGTAATACTCCCAAAGAGATCGGTGCACAACTCACAAGTTGTGGCCGTATACTAAAGATGGTCCGCGTCCTCCTTAAGTGTCCACAAGGACACTAAGCAGCCACCCTCAAGGACCGAAGCGAGATAGCCCTCGAGGAGGGTGTTCTCACCTACAAGTCCCACATAGCCCTACTGCAGCCCCAACGACACCTCGCCAC